TCACCAGTTGAATATCCGTGATCCACAACGACTTTGCTGCTTTAACTCCATTACATTTCCTCTATATCTGATACATTAGCGTGCCTGTTGACCTATTTCGAATCTATACCCCACGCCTGTTGATATATTTCGTAACTATACCAACGCATGTTGACATATTTCGTAAATTAACCCACGCCTATTGACATATTTCGTTAGTATATTTAAGCACGTTCGTTGACATGTTTCATAACTATACCCACGCCTATTGACATATTTTGTAATTATAAACACGCCGTTCGTTGACATATTTCATAACTATACCCACGCCTAATGACATATTTTGTAACTATACCCACGCCCGTTCGTTGACATATTTCGTAACTATAGCCACGCTTGTTCGTTGACATATTTTGAAAATATAGCCATGCCTGTTGACATATTTCGTATTAATACCCACACCTATTGACATATTTCGTAACTATACCCACGCTCGTTATCATGTTTCGAAACTATACACATGCCTGTTGACATATTTTGTAACTATACCCACGCCCGTTGACAGATCTGGAGCTGCATCTACAACCTGTTTGTGGCCCTGGCCTCGCTGAGCTTTGTCCTGGAGAGCGAGCCGAGCTATCGCTACATCACCGATAAAGTCAAGGCCAAGCTTGTCGGGGACTTGCCCCAGCCAGGAGACCTCCGTTTCATGATGTATTCCGTGGAGTTCCCTTCCATCTATTTGCTAGATACCATCTGTTGGACCTTCTTCACTGTGGAGTTTTTCATTCGTTTGGCAGTTTCTCCCAGAAGTTCTGTGTTTTTAAAGTAAGTACCTCCCATGTGGGTTCTGGGGTTCCCATTGTGGGGGAAACAAAAATAGACCCACTGCCTACCCAAAAAGCATGTCGTAAGAGTCGAATAGTCGGGAGCTTCCTTCGAAGTCGGAGTAAATCTGCCCGAGAGACAAGAAACCAACAGTCTGCATGCAAATGTAGATGCGAGTGTTCACGCAAAAGTCAGGTTCTGGAACAGGACTAGAGTCCAGAAGTGGACGAATAACCAGAACTTTCCACCGGAGCTTACTGCAGGTGGGTGCAAAGATGAAGAAGAAAGTGAGTACTGAATAAAACAACCTAACTGCTACAGAGAAATTATAAAATTCTTAGAATACATGGACCATGGAGAAGAGAAATGTCGACATTCCGCATGCCCTGAAAAACACAGAGAACTGGCCCGTAAACAGCATCCTCTCCCGAATGCTGTGGTATTTTGCACATGTCAAGCGAAATGGTGGTCTTGAGAAAGCGGTGGTGGAGGGTGCAGTTTCCCGAAGGCGAGACTAACCTCAGTAAAGTTATCGGTCTAATCACTGCAGGTCTGAAGTGAATAGCAGAAAACAAAGTTACCAGAGAAATTATGTGTCTGATTCTCGGTGGGTACTGCGGAAGGTTCAACATGGACTAATGTGGCATGAGTGGATACAATGCATCAGTACGCCAACATTGCAGGGAATCACGCGGATCTACTGAGGGGATTAAAGAGCGGATTAACTGGCTACAAAATCGAAAGATACGGGAGCACTCGTATTGGACAAGATAGATATTCTGAAGACCATGTATGAACGACTTTTGGCAGAAGACACGAGACTAGATCTTCATCTTTCGTTCGCCTATATGGCGTGTGTGCGTGGCATCCTGATTGCTGTGGTGCGCCTCCTGGCTGGTTGCCTCCGACTTCAGCACATTGTTTTGCAAGGGTAGACTGTGGTCATACTCGAGGAGAGTAGGCTCATCCCTTCGTCTTTCGCCTTTACCTCGTTTGTTGTCCCATCCAGTTTCCCGCTGGGGGTTGAAACCCCAGCCTTCAACTGGATTGCTGGGAAGAACAGGGTCCACCACGTGAAGGTGAGGTAGGCTTGAACAAGAGAGGCTAATAAACATTAAGAGTCTTGTATTGGGAATCAGTGTTCCATCAGGACCCCATGAGACTAGATGAAAAAACATGGGCAAACTTGTGTGAACGAGGAATTAAGTGTGGATCCGGCAAGGAGGGACGGATGAGAGTAAAAGATCGGCGTATGTATAATCAGTCAGGCATTCTCTTTCTCAGAATAAAATTGTAATTGCAAGACAACCAAGAAAGCAAACAACAGAGCAGCACACCCGTAACCTGCAGGAAAGTAGACCAGCCCAAAAAGAACTTGTAAATAAAACGTGACCTACTTTGTTTGGGGAGACTAACTTAATCCTAACAGCCAAATGATTGTTCTAGTACCCTACTTGTTTAAAAGTCCTTGTGATCTGTGCATTGGCCGTCATTGTACCCTGTGTGTTGACTGATTGTCCCGTTTTCACAACTGACAGTGAAAGATTTCTGCTTGTGTCAACAGAAGCAAGTTAAACATCATGGACATATTACTTCTGACCACAGTCTGGATTATATTTTTCACCAAAGACTACGTCACCGACACTTTTAAGCGATTTAATGACATCTTCTTTTATACTATAGTAAGTGCTCACATCTTGTGCCATGTAATAGTGGCCACGTCATACTGTTGCCGTGGCCATATCTTGCTGTCATGTGGCACTCTTATGCTATCAAGTGTCTGTGGCAATTTTAAGCTGTCATGTGTCTGTGGCACTTTTATGATGTCATGTGTCTGTGGCACTTTCATGCTGTCATGTGTCTTTGGCACTTTTATGATGTCATGTGTCTGTGGCACTTTCATGCTGTCATGTGTCTGTGGCACGTTTATGCTGGCATGTGTCTCTGGCACTTGTATGATGCCATGTGTCTGTGGCACTTTCATGCTGTCATGTGTCTGTGGCACTTTTATGATGTCATGTGTCTGTGGCACTTACATGCTTTCATGTGTCTGTGGTACTTTTATGCTGGATTGTGTCTGTGGCACTTTCATGCTGTCATGTGGCACTTTCATGCTGTCATGTGTCTGTGGCATTTTTATACTGTCATGTGTCTGTAGTACTTTTATGCTGGCATGTGTCTGTGGCACTTTCATGCTGTCATGTGTCTGTGGCACTTTTATGATGTCATGTGTCTGTGGCTTTTTCATGCTGTTTTGTGTCTGTGGCACTTTTATGCTGTCATATGCTTTATGGCACTTTCATGCTGTCATGTGTCTGTGGCACTTTTATGCTGCCAGGATACATTAATGCTACCTTCCAAGTACACACGATACAGAAATGTTACGTTCCAAGTACACAGGATACAGTAATGTAACGTTTCAAGTACACAAGATACAGTAATGAAATGTTTCAAGTACACAAGATAGTGTAATGTAATGTACCAAGTACACAAGATTCAGTAATATAATGTTCTAAGTACACAAGATACAGTAATGTAGAGGTCCAAGTACACAAGATACAGTAATGTAGCGTTCCAAGTTACATAAGATACAGTAATGTAACGTTCTTGGTACACAAGATACAGTAATGTAACGTTCCAAGTACACAAGATACAGTAATGTAACATTCCAAGTACACAAGATACAGTAATGAAATGTTTCAAGTACACTAGAAACAGTAATTTAATGTTCCAAGCACACAAGATAGAGTAATGTAACATTCCAAGTACACAAGATACAGTAATGAAATGTTTCCAGTACACAAGAAACAGTAATGTAACATTCCAAGTACACAAGATACAGTAATAAAACGATCCAAGTGCAAAAGATACAGTAATGTAGCGCTTTAAGTACACAAGATACAGTAATGTAACGTTCCAGGTACACAAGGTACAGTAAAGTAACATTTGAAGTACACAAGATACAGTAATGTAACGTTCCAAGTACACAGAATACAGTAATGTAACGTTCCAAGTACACAAGATACAGTAATGTAACATTCCAAGTACACAAGGTGTAGTAATGTAACATTCCAAGTACACAAAGTACAGTAATGTAACATTCCAAGTACACAAGATACAGTTATGTTACGTTCCAAGTACACAAGAAACAGAAATGTAACGTTCCAAGTACGCAAGATACAGTAATGTTAAGTTCCAGATATATACAACTTATAATTATGTATTCTTTTGGGTATGCAGAATATGTCGGCGTCTGTGGCATAATGGTTATTAATGTGGCTTCGAACACGGACATAACGGTTCGTTTCAGCTGTCGTCAATTTGTCAGAAGACCGCTTTGCGTTGATTTCGACAAAGGTAATGAGCCCAGTAAGCAGTAGCAAACTAACTGAAGGTAATCCTACCTAGTAAATACATAAACAGCCAAAAAAAAAAAAAAAAAATGCTTGGTTTTTGTTTGTGAGGCACAGTCCAGGATTTGCAAACTGACTTTTACACAAGATACCGTAACGATCACAGTACACTGGGAACACTGGTGTCTTTGTCGAAGATACGTGTATCTTGGAGTGGTGCACTTCTGTTGAAAATAAAGATGTGTACTGACCCCTAGCGGCATGCGACCATTACTTAAAGAAAAAAAAAAACACATAATTATGCTAATAATGTAATAATATTGCTGAATGGCGAATAAATTTAATAACACACTTGAAAATTCTTCTGAAGATAATTTCTAGTTATGGATAAGATTTCGCTTAGCCACGCCCCCTTTACAAAATAGTTGGGGGGAGGGAACCTCAACCCAAAACATATTGTGGGGGGGGGGGGGGACGAATTTCAAAGGACCCAAGCTCCTAGGTTCCCAAGTCCCTAGGTTCCAGAGCCTATGCACTAGCTCAGTGGTTTTCTACTTTTCTAATGCGGCGAGCTATCCTTGGTATTGTAGCGAACCCCATACAATTATTTTCCTTCATAGCTTCAATGAATATGTATTTTCCGATAGTCTTAGGCGACCTCTGTAAAAGGGTAGTTGGACTCAACAAAAAAAAAAACAAAAAAAAAGATTAGCGATCGGCAGGTTTAGAACCGTTGCAATAGATGTACTCGTCTGTTTTTACGAGGATATATAGGTCTGATAGTAATGTGCACTTCTGGTGAAAGCAATCATGAACACTGACCTCTCACTGCAGGTGACCATGAACTCTTTCAAATCAATGCGGGTACTGCGAGTATTCACAGTTCTCTACAGGAACGAGTACACTAAGGTCATGATGTTGTCTCTGAACGCATCCGCGCACCCTCTCAGTTTGCTGGTGGTGAGTACGATTGGGTCACAGGGAATCACTGGGGCGGTGGGGTGCGGGGGGGGGGGGGTGTACACATAGTTATGTACATTGAGTTATGCAGGGAGTCACGCATGGAATCACAGGGGGAGACATGTAGGGAGACCTACGGGGAGATACACAGGGCATCAGGATCATGTTCATCATAATCATGTGCCGTACCGGTAGGCGTAGGCTGTCGTTTTTCGCCATCTTACTTGATCACCAAAATCGTGGGTCAGTTCAACGTTTTTATCTCGCTCCATACATCTGGCTATGTTTTTATCTTTCTGCGTTTTACTTGTTCGCCTTCCATCAGTCTTGCCATATGTTAATGAGTTCTCGAGTATCATACAAGGAAATATTCAGTTACTCATATAGAGTGGGATATATTGGGACACATACAACAAGATTAGTTAGCTAGTTAGATAGGTAGTTAGTCAGTCAGTCAGTTAGTGAGTAAGTTAGCTAGTTAGTTAGTTAGTTAGCTAGCTAGCTAGTTAGTTAGTTAGTTTGCTAGTTAGCAAGTTAGCTAGTTAGTTAGTTAGTTAGTTAGTTAGTTAGTTAGTTAGCTAGTTAGTTAGTTAGTTGGTCAGTTAGTTAGTTAGTTAGCTAGCTAGTCAGTTAGTTAGTTAGTTAGTTAGTTAGTTAGTTAGTTAGTTAGTTAGTTAGTTAGTTAGTTAGTTAGTTAGTTAGTTAGTTAGTTAGTTAGTTAGTTAGTTAGTTAGTTAGTTAGTTAGTTAGTTAGTTAGTTAGTCCCTAAAGTCCTCCACCTGATGTCAGAACTCACAAATGTTTTATACTTTCTCTAGCTACCAAACATAGGGTCAGATCTCACAGATTTTTCAATAATTTATCTGGTCATCAAACATGATGGCAGATCTCACAGATAATGTTTTTATACTTTCTCTAGTCACCGACCATGATGTCAGAATTCACAGACGTTACTATGCGTGCTCTTGTCACCAAACATTATGTCAGATCTCGTAGATAATGATTTCTATACTTTCTCTAGTTATCGAACAGAATATTTGCTTTCAAATCTGATGTTTCCAAACTGTCTTTAGTCACCGAACATGATGTCAGGTCTCACAGATGTTTCTATACTTTCTCTAATCACTAAACAGGATGTCAGGTCTCACAGATGTTTCTATACTTTCTCTAGCCACGAAACATGAGGTCAGATATCATACATGTTTCTATATTTTCTCTAATCACTAAACAGGATGTCAGGTCTCACAGATGCTTATATATTTTCTCTAATCACTAAACAGGATGTCAGGTCTCACAGATGTTTCTATACTTTCTCTAGCCACGAAACATGAGGTCAGATATCATACATGTTTCTATATTTTCTCTAGTCACCAAACATGATGTCAGATATCACATATGTTTCTATACTTTTTCGCACAACATGATGCCAGACCTTACACATAATGTCTATATTCTTTCTCCACTCACACAACATGATGCCAGACCTTGCACATAATGTTTCTATACTTTCTCCACTCACCCAGCATGATGCCTGACCTTACAGATAATGTTTCTATACTTTCTCCACTCACCGAACGTGATTCCAGACCTTACAGATAAAGTTTCTATACTTTTTCCAGCTGGCTGCATTAATGGCGGCTCTGATTTTCGGATCCCTGATCTACGTGGCTGAGTTATCTTTTGGCACGTACAGCTTCAAAAGTCTGGCCCAGGCAACGTGGTATGGGTATGAAACCATGACCTCGATTGGTTATGGCGAGATCCTGCCTAATTCCATTCCCGGCTACATCGTGTCCCTCTTTTGCGGCATGTTTGGGGTGATTCTGTTGTCAATGCCTATCGCCATCATGAGTGAGAGTTTCCAGCAGTACATGGTTGGTCTCCGGATACACAAGCATCAGTTGGCCCGAGTCTACTATAAGAATAATCAGGGCCAAAAGAACGCTGTCAGGTCAGTTATTCTATCAGCATATGTTTTTTAATATCATTTCGACTGACTGGGGATCCTTCCAAGTCGGGAAGCATCTGCCAGAGAGGCAAGTGATCCTCTGCCACCTGCTAATAAAAGTCCAACATGTGTCCGGTATACCAATCGTAAGCTTGACGCTCGGTCGTCCAGGTATGCTGACTGCTTTAATTAGGCTGCCGCAACGACTTCTTATCTCACAGTACCTTCTGCAAACCACCAAGTCGTCTTGTCCCTATCCGGAAAAAAACACCATCTGGTAATTTCGTGCAGCAGGGTACCAGCCCTGAGCTTCATGAACTCAGGTTGGCCCACCTCCGAAAGTGTCTAGGAGAATCGTGGGCCGAAACACTTGTCGACGAGGATATCTGCTACTGACGACTGGTAGAACCCTGTTGTACTTGCTCCCTGTGAGTTTATTCTTATTGTACATGGCTAGTCCACAAGACTACCAGGAAAGACTGGTGACTCTCGGGAAAGACCTTGTGACACCTATGGAAAGACTGGCCCCCCGGTATCGCCGGTGGGATAAACTGACATCTGGAGACAGATGTCGACTGTGGACCAGGTTGATCACCCTTAACACAGTATAATACCTTCGATTTCGCAAAATCATATAGAAATATGCCCCCAGGGCCCTCCGAAAAGGGGGGGGGGGAGAATGAAGGCCCCAATCAAACTGATACTCTCGGTGACGACTATGCTAGCCCCCGGACTCAGATACTCGCCCAACGTCCGGGCTGGCTCTGTACATGTGAAAAGAGCTTCACGGGGTTGCATGGTCTGAGAACGCATGCCGGAAGAATGAAATGCGAGGGTGCGCCACGCAGTAAACGCCGTCGCAAAACTACTACTCCTGTGGTAGTTTCTAAGTCGTTAGGGAACGACGGGCAGGGTGAAACCCACTCGCCCGGAGAGGCCCATGGCGTCGACTGCGGAGGAGCACTTATGATGATTTCTGAGGAAGTGCGTTCCAAGATCAGGTTTCCACCTGCGAGCGATAAGGTGGTGTGGTGTAAGTTGGAGGCTACATTATGTAAGATACTTAAACATGATTTAAACAAGAAGTCGTTAGGCGACAACCTTACAAAATTTGGTGATGTAATATATGAACACTGCTCCCGCGAGTTCAGGACAGTGGAGAAGGCACAGCCGGGTGCCAAGCAGAATACCAGCAGGAGGCAGAGGGACATTCTGAAGTGTCGGGCAGACAAAAATGCCCTCAGAAAACGGTTCAAAGCCGCTACAGGTAGCGAACGGGAGGGGCTGTACGAAGTCTGGTTGCATTTTAAGAACAGACACAGTGCCCTCTGTCGCGCTGAGCGTTTCTGCAATAGCAGAAGAAGAACCAAAAGGGAGCGAGAGAAATTCTTTAGGGACCCGTATCAGTTTGCCTGAGGTCTATTCGAGCAACCGAAGTCTGGGACTCTGGTTGTCAGCCAGGAAGAGCTTGAGTTACATCTACGCAAGATTTACTCTGACAAAAAGAGGAGAGAGCCTCTCGATGACAATCCAGAGATCCTTAGCGGCCTCAAGCAGCCTTCGGTGCCGAAGTTACCATTTAAAATGATACCTCCCCTTTGGTCTGAGGTTGAGGAAGTTGTTGAAAAGGCCAGCGGCAAGTCTGCCCCAGGTCGAATGGTGTTCCGTACGTTTTTTACAAGCGCTGCCCGAAAATCCCAAAAATGCTTCACGTCTTTTTGAGACAAGCGTGGATCCGTGATCACATATGTCCAGAGTGGCAAAAGGCAAATGGGGTCTACATTCCCAAAGAGCAGGACTCGAAGAGTCTTTCCCAATTCAGGCCCATCTCGCTGTTGAATGTCGAGGGTAAGATATTCTTCTCGGTCATGGCTCGCCGGCTCACACAGTATCTGATGGCTAACAAGTACATCGATACGAGTGTTCAGAAGGGTGGTATTCCAGGCGTTCCTGGGTGCCTTGAACACGCGACCATGATTTGGGAGGCTATCCAGAGAGCCAAGCATGAGAGAACACAATTGCACGTAATATGGTTGGACTTAGCCAACGCCTACGGGGCAGTCCCCCATAGGCTACTGTGGTGAGCCCTTCGCATGTTTCACGTACCGGCACAGATCAATCAAATGATCGAGCAATATTTCTTTAAGTTCGCTTTGTGCTTCTTTACCTCGACGTTTACCACGAGATGGACTGAGCTACAAGTTGGGATAGCTATGGGGTGTACGATCTCACCTATACTGTTTGTCATGGCCATGCAGTGCAGATCATGTTAGACGGGGCGGCCGGCTACGGACTGGGCCTTCAAAAAGGGGATCACTGGTTGCCGCCACTGCGCGCATTTATGGATGACACGACTATAATAACGGGCAGCGAGGAGTCTGCCCGCAAGATCCTGAAAAGATTGGACGCGGTGGTCCAATGGAACGGTATGCAGTTCAAACCGCAGAAGTCGAGGGGTCTGTCAATCCTTAAGGGCAAGGTGTCGGCAACCAGTTTTACGGTGGCAAGGAACAAGATCCCCACGGTTCTGGATGAACCGGTGAAGAGCCTCGGTCGAGTTTACGATACGAAGTTATCTGATAGAGCGGAGGTCCGGCGAATACACGAGTCACTGGCTACAGGCCTGCTCGCGATCGAGCGTGTCTCCAATTCATGTTGATTCCGAAGCTCCTATGGCCACTGTTAGTCTACGAGGTGACGATGACTGCAGTGGAAACCATGGAAAAGAAAATCAACACAGCCTTAAGAAAGTGGATTGGAGCACCGCCTTGTCTGACCGACGTGGCTCTGTATTGCAAACAGGCTAAGCTGGTACTTCCGTTCAAGTCGATAACAGAAGAGTTTAAAGTCGGCAAGGTAAGGCTCGCCATGCTCTTGCGCGAGTCTTCAGACCCAAATGTCATCGCTGTCCAGCCCGCTCTAAAGACTGGCCAGAAGTGGAGGGTCCTCGATGCGATTAAATCTGCGCAGAACGCACTAAAATTGAAGGAGATAATGGGATACACTCAAACCGACCGTCAAGGCCTAGGGCACGGGAAGGTCAATTGGTGGTCAAAGGCCTCAGCCAAAGAACGCCGAGACATGTTCATACAAATGGTAAGGGACAACGAAAACGAGGTTCGGGTTTAGAAAGCGGCCCAGCAGTCGCAGCAGGGCTATTGGGTCAGCCTGGAGAGCGCATTGCCTAGAATACTACAAGGGGTGAGATCTGGCGGATGACTCCGCTGCGACTGAGCTTTATCGTTCGTTCGGCGTACGATGTATTACCGTCCGGTGTTAACATGGTTAAGTGGTCTGCAACTAACGATCCGACTTGCCCGTTGTGCAAAGCGAAGCAGACTCTTGAGCATGTTCTGTCTGCGTGCAGGAAAGCCCTAGGCCAAGGCAGATATACCTGGCGACACAACAAGGTGCTAAAAGAGTTAGCAGCCGTTGTTGACTAGGCTAGAGTGAGGGTTAATGCTAGAGCCAGTTCTACTATCGTCCCCATACGTTTCCTCAAGGCTGGGCAGGTTCAAAAAGGTAAGGTCAACCGAAACGCATTCGCTCCATCTGTGCTAGACTCTGCGAGGGACTGGTTAATGGCGGTTGATCTGCCGGGCCATGAAAGGTACCCTGAGTTGATCCGGAAGACCGGCCTGCGACCTGACATAGTTCTCCACTCTGCGGTGAAACGGCAGCTCATCCTGATTGAGCTCACCGTCCCGTATGAGTCACGTATGGATGAAAATCACACATATAAGCTCGAGAAATATTGTGATTTAGCAGCCGGTCTGAGAAGAAACGTATCGTACACAGTACGGGTTTTTGCCGTCGAAGTGGGAGCGCGAGGCGTCGTTTCCACTTCGCTCTACAATGTGGTTAAAGAACTAGGATTGCACGGTAATGAACGGAAACGAACACTTAAAAAACTGGGCGAGGCAGCCGAAAGGGCCTCGAGTTGGCTTTGGACGCAACGGAACAACGTAGGGGACGGGCCTCGGTGAGCTGGTCCGGGTGTCTAGTGGAAAAGGGTTTCTCACCCCTTGAAAGTCCATCGTGTCCGAATTGTCTGCCAGTGATCCTCTGCCACCTGCTAATAAAAGTCCAACATGTGTCCGGTAAACCAATCGTAAGCTTGTCGCTCGGTCGTCCGGGTATGCTGACTGCTTTAATTAGGCTGCCGCGACGACTTCTTATCTCACAGTACCTTCTGCAAACCACCAAGTCGTCTTGTCCCTATCCGAAAGAAAAACACCATCCGGTAATTTCGTGCAGCAGGGTACCAGCCCTGAGCTTCATGAACTCAGGTGGGCCCATCTCCGAAATTGTCTAGGAGAATCGTGGGCCGAAACACTTGTCGACAAGGATATCTTCTACTGACGACTGGTAGAACCCTGCTGTACTTGCTTCCTGTGAGTTTATTCCTATGGCGAGATCCTGCCTAATTCCATTCCCGGCTACATCGTGTCCCTCTTGTGCGGCATGTTTGGGGTGATTCTGTTGTCAATGCCTATCGCCATCATGAGTGAGAGTTTCCAGCAGTACATGGTTGGTCTCCGGATACACAAGCATCAGTTGGCCCGAGTCTACTATAAGAATAATCAGGGCCAAAAGAACGCTGTCAGGTCAGTTATTCTATCAGCATATGTTTTTTAATATCATTTCGACTGACTGGGGATCCTTCCAGGCCGGGAAGCATCTGCCAGAGAGGCAAGGAACCACAAGTCTGCATACAGATAAGCCAGATCTATGAAACTGATGTGCACGCAACGCTCAGGTTCTGGATTAAGACTAAATTCCAAAGGTGGACGAACAACCACAGCTTTCCACCGGAGTTTACAGCTAGATGTAGTGTCGTTTGTTAAAAGTAAAGTACCTTTTCTACTCCTTTAGGCGTATTGGGGATATGGGGGAAGGGGTGGGGGGGGGGGGGGGGGAAGACATACTTTATAAAGCAGTCGCCTCAAGGTGGGTGATGTGGTCAGCACAACGCCGGTCGCTTTAACTTCCCATGACTTTTACATGTACCCACTTCAAGCTGAGTCGACCTAGAAGCCAATGTCATTTCGGAAAAAAAAAAAATCCAGCTCCGTTTGGTATTGTTCCTATCTCTGTATAAAGCATTGTTTGTCTCTCTGTATAAAGCACCGTTTATATCTCTGTATAAAGCATCGTTTATATATCTGTATAAGCATAGTTTGTATCTCTGTATAAATTGTCGTTTATATCTCTGTATAAAGCACCGTTTGTATCTGTGTATAAATTGTCGGTGATATCTCTGTATAAAGCATCGTTTGTCTCTCTGTATAAAGCACCGTTTGTATCTCTGTATAAAGAATCGTTTATATCTCTGTATAAAGCACCGTTTTTATCTCTGTATAAAATGTTTATATCTCTGTATAAAGCATCGTTTGTATCTATGTATAATTGTGTCGTTTGTTTCTCTGTATTAAGCATTGTTTGTATCTCTGCATAAATTGTCGTTTATATCTCTGTATAAAGCACCGTTTGTGTCTCTGTATAAATTGTCGTTTATATCTGTGTATAAAGCATCGTTTGTATCTCTGTGTAAATTGTTGTTAATATCTCTGTATATGGCATCATTTGTATCTCTGTTTAAATTGTCGTCAATATTACTGTAGAGGTCGCGGATCTTTGCCGGTTATATTATACTAATGATCTTTATATACTGAAGCTCCGGCGTCTGGCCCGTAGTGATCCCTGTTTTCAGCATGTTGGCCCCGAGTCAACTGAACTGAATAGCCCTGGTATAAAGTCTCCTGTGTATTTCTGTAAAATACTATCTTATGAATCTCCGAATAAATTATTGTGTGTATCTTTGTCGCTTTGTGTCTCTGTACTAAGTATCCCTTACATCTATACATCAATTATTGTGCGTATCTCTGTATAACTTGTCTTTGTGTGTCCTTGTAGAAAGTATTGTTTGCAACTCTGAATAAAGTATCACTTGAAATCTGTATCAACTATCCGTTTATCTCTGTATAAAGTATCGTGTGTCTAATTTTTTTAAGCCCCACACTGGCTTTTGCCGGGGGCCTTGAATGTAGCCGGGTCATAAATATGGCCTAACGGCTGAAAGGGGTTTCTGGGACCTCTCCACTGGTGATCCCCATCTGCATGGTGGCACTTTGTTGCACCGGGTGTTTATCGCTTGTGTGATGATGGGTCAGTATGCGTTGGAGCAGGTTAACCAGTTCAAATACCTTGGAGTTGTATTAGACCAAAATGGAGGCATTAAGACTGAGCTGGCTACACGAAAAGCAGCTGCTGGGAGACTCTTTCAGGCCATAAACCGAGGGTTTCTTAGCAAAAGAGAAATTGGCAAGAGGACGAAAATGGCTGTTTACTGCTCTACCTATGTACCAGTCCTGACCTATGGGTGTGAGTCATGGGCAATGACAACAGCTCACAGAAGCCAGCTGCAGGCCTCGGAAATGAGATACTTGAGAAAGGTGGTCCAAGTGACAAGAAGGGACAAAGTCCGCAATCAGACAATACGTCAAGATCTTGATACCCAGCCCTTACTAACCGAGTGGATCAGTCACAGTTACGATGGTTTGGACATGTGTGCAGAATGGGAGAAAATCGGCCACCATGGCAAGCATGGGAGGAGGCTAAGAAACCAGGGAACCAGACCTCCGGGACGACCCAGGGTGCGCTGGGAAGACAACATCCGACAGTCCCTGACTGACAGAGGACTGGAATGGAACAAAGCCAGAAAGAAAACTGCTGATAGAGACGTCTGGCGATCTCTCTGGCAAACCTCTACACCCCAAGGTAGAAGAGGAGCGACTAAGTAAAGTAAAGTAAAGTAAAGTGATATCCTTGTGGGGTACAACAAGAGAGAGAGAGAGAACGAACGAACGAACGAACGAACTTTATTTTCAAAGGGTCACAAAGAGAGAGAGAGAGAGAGAGAGAGAGAGAGAGAGAGAGAGAGAGAGAGAGAGAGAGAGAGAGAGAGATATCTGTATAAATTTTCGTTTTGTGTCTCTGTTTAAAGTATCGTTTGTATTTCTGTATAAAGTATCATGTGTTTTTCCGTATAAATGTTCGTTTTGTGTCTTTGTATTAAGTATCCTTTGTATATCTGTATAAAGTATAATTTGTTTCTCAGTATAAATTTTCGTTTTGTGTCTCTGAATAAAGTATCGTTTGTATTTATGTATAAAGTATCATGAGTTTCTCCGTATAAGTCGTCGTTTTGTGTCTCTGTATAAAGTATGGTTTGTATTTCCGTTTGAAGTATCGTTTATATTTCGGTATCAAGTATCGTTTGTATTTCGGTATCAAGTATCGTTTGTATTTCGTTATCAAGTATCGTTTGTATTTCGGTATCAAGTATCGTTTGTATTTCGGTATCAAGTATCGTTTGTATTTCGGTATCAAGTATCGTTTGTATTTCGGTACCAAGTATCGTTTGTATTTCGGTATCAAGTATCGTTTGTATTTCAGTATCAAGTATCGTTTGTATCTCTGTGTTTTTGCATCTTTCTTTACAGTGTTTTCTGTTCCACTGTATATAATTTTGTTTCTTTATAATACTTCCCCCCCCCCCCCCCCCCCAATCATTTCGTATAGAGTGTTTGTCTCTTTGTGTATAAAGTGTTGTTAGTGGTTCTGAGTATATAGTGGATTTTTTTCTGTGTGTGTTTCTATTTATAAAGTGTTGTTTGTGTTTACATATATGGAGTGTTTTTGTATCTCAACCATCTTCATCGTCATCATCATCATCATCATCATCGCTTCGCGTCGTGGGGAAAAATAATTTGCTGGCTACAACTGGCTATTGTCATACCGTGAACGCGTAGAGTGTCTTTAATGTTGTCGATCCATGTTTTCGCGGCCGTCCTCTTGTTCTTGTAGCTGATCTTCTGAGATGTAGTGCTTGTAATGGTATTTGATCTTGCTGTATTCTTACGAGATGGCCAAACAACTAGATCTGCTATTTCTTGATGAAACAAGTGTATTTCTCACAATGTGTTTGACAGTATTGTTATTCAATTGATCTTTGATAGTTAGGCTGACGGCTTTTCTCAGGCATCTCATCTCGCAGGTGGTGATGTTGTGTCTATGTTTGGCATATATAGTGTGCATATAGTGTTATTTGTTTGTGTGTGTATATATATATATATATATATGTGTGTGTGTGTGTGTGTGTGTGTGAGAGAGAGAGATTATTATTTTTTAAAGGGTTACAAATTGGGCACGCAGGCCCGTCTTCCATTCGGCCATGCTAAGCACTCCACTTTCAGAGCACCATTGTGTGCCTATTGGCTTATAAAATATAGGTCAATTCCTTTTTGCCCAAATACACTCAAAGGCGCGGAAAAGGGGTCATTTGCCTTTATTTTTTCTTGATGATGCTTTTGTTTGACAGGGCTTATACTTGTTCTGGTGCCATTGATGATGTTTCTGTTTGACAGGGCCTCATACATGTTTTAGTACCATTGATGATGTTTCTGTTTGACAGGGCCTCATACATGTTTTAGTACCATTGATGATGTTTCTGTTTGACAGGGCCTTAGACATGTTCTGGTACCATTGATGATGTTTCTGTTTGTTAGGAACTTATACATGTTCTGGTACCATTGATGATGTTTCTGTTTGACAGGGACTTATACATGTTCTGGTACCATTGATGGTGTTTCTGTTTGACAGGGCCTTACACATGTTCTGGTACCATTGATGATGTTTCTGTTTGACAGGGCCTTATACATGTTCTAGTACCATTAATGATGTTTCTGTTTGACAGGGCCTTATACATGTTCTGGTTCCATTAATGATGTTTCTGTTTGACAGGGCCCTATACATGTTCTGGTACCATTGATGATGTTTCTGTTTGACAGGGCCATGTACATGTTCTGGTACCATTGATGATATTTCTGTTTGACAGGGCCTTATACAAGTTCTGGTACCATTGATGATGTTTCTGTTTGACAGGGCCTCATACATGTTTTAGTACCATTGATGATGTTTCTGTTTGACAGGGCCTTATACATGTTCTGGTACCATTGATGATGTTTCTGTTTGTTAGGAACTTATACATGTTCTGGTACCATTGATGGTGTTTCTGTTTGACAGGGCCTTATACATGTTCTGGTACCATTGATGATGTTTCTGTTTGACAGGGCCTTATACATGTTTTGGTACCATTGATGATGTTTCTGTTTGACAGGGCCTTATACATGTTCTGGTACCATTGATGATGTTTCTGTTTGACAGGGCCTTATACAAGTTCTGGTACCATTGATGTTCTGGTATTGATGTTTTTTCTGTTTGACAGGGCCTTATACATGTTCTGGTACCATTGATGATGTTTCTGTTTGACAGGGCCTTATACATGTTCTGGTACCATTGATGATGTTTCTGTTTGACAGGGCCATTTCTGGTACATGTTCTGGTACAATACATGATGATGATGTTTCTGTTTGACAGGCCTTATACATGTTCTGGTACCATTGATGATGTTTCTGTTTTTGACAGGGTTATATACATTATGATGTTTCTGTTTGATGTTCTGGTACCATTGATGATGTTTCTGTTTGACAGGGCCTTATACATGTTCTGGTACCATTGATGATGTTTCTGTTTGACAGGGCCTTATACATGTTCTGGTACCATTGATGATGTTT